AGAACATCCCATAACTCTAAGTATATTGGGAGAAAATCGCAGTTATATTTGACCCAAAGTTTCAGTAAAACTTATGAGTGTAACTTGTGATGACTTTCATCGACTTTTACTCCACAACTCGCTTGACATTAAAACATAACACACGGATGTCATATGACTAATATAAATCATAACATTTTTCGCATTTTTGTTAGACTTACCTAGTCGTAGAGACTAGGTGCCGTCACGACATCTTACGGAGGGAGAATTGGATCATGACAATGGACGGACAAATGCATTCATCTCAAATCGTGTGGATTCATCTCATAACGGAGTAAGATTAATGAACCCACGTATAAAGAGAATCAGAAGAAAGAAAAGGAAAGAACCAAAAAAATCAAACCATTCACACTTAGGTATAGGGGCTAGGGAATTCACCACTTAGCTGCCCCACAGGCTATAACCCAAATGCATTCAATTAATCTGTGCCAAAATCAAATAGGCTTAGTTGCACTTTGTTTATCTATCATAAGACACTAGCTAGGCAATTGTATGAATTGGAGTTGGGGGCTATTTCCATTTTAATTGCTTCAATGTGCTTGAGCTCAATTAACTTTTTATGCCTTCTTGTTTGACTTTATTTTTCTTAATTAATAGATACTATGAAAAAGGAAGCCTAATATATAATATTATACAAATAACTAGTGAATTTATTCGCGCTTCACGCGATCATAAAATTCATAAGTAAATTTACAAAATCATATATGTATATCCATATCTATATAATATGAAGCTGGTCATTACATTGATAATGTGACACATCTCATAAACCAAGAAAGGTATTTGCTTTTCCCTCTTTTTTTGTTTTGCTTTTTATTCTCTCATTCCTCGCTTTCAAGATATTTTAATTAACCCCCCACACCCTTAGAATTCTGTTACTAAATAAAAAAAATAACAATTGATTTGTCTAGGAAGCGCAAATGTCATCTGCCACTAAAGTGTTCTCATTAATTCTTGAATGGTTATTCAACTTCTCATATGAGTAGATAATATATTAATTGCAATAGTTACGCGTATTAATGCATGATTGAATTATGTTGTGAAATTTCAGCCCTTTCTCTTCCTATTCCGAGTTCTAGTAATGCAGTGAATAGCAGTCTCTTTGTGAAAGTTTTACTGATGTTGCCTTACTTCTTTTGTTTTCTCCGAGAAATTTACTTTCTTGAAAGAGAAGAATCCCCATGATTAAAAAGTAAAATTCATGGAAATGATTAATCTGGCAAAATGAAACCGGATAGTATAAAACAAATAACATAATTATATAATAGATTTTGGAATATATATCTTAAGTTAATCTCTCTATTCCATTTTAGCCTTTACCAGATACTTTTGGGAATTGATCATGAAGATTATAATGATATTTATATAAAACCCCCAAAAATTAGGATTGTTACACAAATAGCCGGTCGAATTCAATGTTTACTATTTTTAGCCGATATACATAGATTATACACAGTTATACACATATTATACATTAAATTAACACATGTTATACATCCGCCGGCTATTTTTAATTTAAAAAAACAGGTGGGTGGCTATTTGAGTTAATTCTTCAAAAACATTTAATGTCGAACTTTATCTGCCGTGAAAATCAATCAAATTTATGTGAAGAAATTTTTTTAGGAACATTTTCTTGTTTGGAGAAAAAATAATAATAAAATTAGAAAAAAATATAAAGAAGATCCCTAACTCATCAGCCTTTTTCTTTCCCGGCTCAAAAATATAAACTTTTCTCAATTCTATTTCCTTATCTTCCTTGTCCCTTTTAATGTCAACGGTAAGGGTCGTTTGGCCATAAAAACAGATTCATTTTTTCAATTTTATTCTTTTTTTGAAATCAGTGTTTGGCCATGAAATTTTCGATTTTCACTTGAAGATGAATTTCGCAATTTTTCATAAATTTGAAAAACTCCAAAAAGTTATTTTTAAAAACTTTCACTTCAGATTACTCACAAAAATTTAAAAACAAACCAAAATTATATTCATGTCCAAACACAACTCTAATTTTCAAATACAATTTTCACTTTTAAAAATTCACTTTTTTAAAAAACATTTACAATTCTTATGTCCAAACGCCCACATGTTCCGCTAGAAAAATTAATGTCTTTATCTCTCTGAATGCCCATGTTCCTATAACATTATTTTATTCAATTGCTTTAGCTTCTGAACTGTCCAACCCTCTTTGTACTTGTTGTTCATGATCTTCAATATTTGTAACCTCATAGGTAACATGATTAACTTACTTTATATGCTTTTAAATATTATCTCATTTTTGGTCCTACATTAGTTTGCTTACGATGCATTTTTACGTACGAAAATATAGGATGTAACAGAACTTTAAATTTTCACAACCGATGCTGAAACCTATCAAATCAAGTCCGATTGACCTCAAATTTTGCACACAAGTCACATTTGACATTATGAACCTGCTCCAACTTTCAGAATCAAAATCCGACCCCGATATCAAAAAGTCCACTCCCTGTCAAACTTTTCAAAATTTCAACTTTCGCCGTTTCGAGCCAAATTCAACCACGAACCTCCAAATCAAAATCCGGATGCGCTCCAAAGTCCAAAATCACCCAACGGAGACAACGAAACCATCAAAACTCCATTCCGGAGTTGAATTCACAAAAAGCCAAACTTGGTCAACTCTTCCAACTTAAAGCTTCAACAATGAAATTCATTCTTCCAAACCGATTCTGAATAACCTGAAAACCAAAATCGACGATTCACATAAGTCATAATACATCATACGGAGCTACTTATGCCCGTAAACTATCGAGCGAAGTGCAAATGCTCAAAACGACCGATCGGGTCGTTATAGTAAATAGCACAAAATCATATTCAAATACTTATTTCCTGCATTGTGAAGTTGAATCCCACATATAACAACAGTATATCGACATACCGTACAATTGATAAGTAACCCAATTCTGAATAAAATTATAAACATTAAAAGAAATAACAATACCACAATAACTAAAGAAAGCAACAAATACTTCATCTGAAGTGAACAAAATACGTGAGGAAAAGAATAAAATTCAAATAAAGCTCAAGAACACAAGTGAATGTGAAAATGATCTAAAACTAAGTCACCTTGAGCAGAAAGGTTCCTTTTTTGGTGGAGTCCTCAATGTCTAAAACGTAGCAGATAATACAAAAAAAATGTATTGCTACATTCTTTAATTTGAAGAGGCAGTAGAATTAGTCAATTTATGAATATGAGAATTTTGCGTTTCTGATTTCAATGTAATTAACTCCTTTACCATTAATTAAGAAAGATAAGAGGTGTGAGGATTTGTTTGGGCATTAAAGAAGAACGTTTCTTATTTTGATTGCTCGCTATTTTCTTTATACAGATTGCTGGAAGTTATTCTTATTAATTGAGGAAGTGATCAGACCTTTTGAATATTTTTATGAACATAATTGTGGAAAAAATTGATGGAAAAACCAAAAAAAAAAAAAAGAAAGATAAATAGCAATCCTTAACTATGAGAGGTGCCACATCAACTTTACTATTCCCATGATTATATTTATATATAGATTAGTATTTAAACGTAATACATGGGAATATTAATCGGTGATGACTAATTTAAGGAGCTAAAAGAAGTCATTGAAATAAATAGAAAATTAAATCAAGTGACGCCCGTAAAGCCAGATAATATTTACTCTCTCCGATCCATAATAAGCGACTTTTTAGCCTTTGGTACTCCCTTTAAAAATAATACGAAATCCTAGAGAGAAAAAGATGTATTCACTAAATTGTCCTTAATTAATTATTATTTTGACAAATTTGAATATGTAAATAAGGAAAATTTTAGAAAAATAAAATTAATTCCTTCTTGATTATGTAAAAAGATATTTATTTTGGACCAAAATAAAAAGGCCAAAAAATCGCTTATTATGGATCGGAGAGAATATTGTTTAGTTAGCGAGAGAATAAGTTGGGAAGTAAAGCTAATCAATGTGCAGACGTTATTTCATATGTCGTACCCCTAATACTAATGGCTAATAATTGGTGAAAAGGGGGAAAATGCACTTGAACTATTGATAATAGACAAAATAATTCTCAAATACACCTGAATTATTAAAAATAGGTTAAAAAATGACCGTTGCCATTGGCAAACTAACCCAATTATATGCCCCTATTCCGTTAACGAACCTCTCTGTCTCATTTATTTCCTCTTAAAATTTATTTCTTTGTTGAGATGAATTCCACCTTGAAAAAAAAAAAAAAGGCTCCAGCCACTTATTTCTAATATCTTGTATTTTCTATTTCTTAGAAAGATGTACCTTTTGTTTTTGAGCTTTATTTTCCATAGAAAATTAAAGTAGGTATGTGTGACTTAATTGTTACTCCTAATAAAGTGGAATAAAAATTCATAAGAAATCCGGATTCAAATCTCGAGCCAAAAAAGTGATCTAATTGAAAATGTGGATATTGTAGCTTTGCATGAAACATGAATATTTCAAACCTTTCATTCATTTATTGGTGAGAAAAAGATGTGAAAAGTGTATATGGTTGTACTTCTTCACCGTAAAATTACACTATATTGCTAGATAATTTTTTTTATTTTATATATATTTACTATATGTTGATTCCCTTTGACTTTTCGATATATCTAATTATTTATATTTTGAAACTCCTTAATGAAAATTCAGGCCCTGCCACCGCCACCGCTGATGTATAATGTATATATTATTTTTTCAAAAGAACCAAAAATAGGGAAGTTAAAACTCGTTTATGTTGATGAAACTCTAGTACTCCTAGCTTTTAAATTTTTGTTGACTTTCGTGGTGGACCAGTTAATTGAATGGCTTTGATTATTAGCCACTTACTTAATTTATTGATCCCACATAAAAATTAAAGGAGTCGTAAACCCAAACATGTTATTCCTGCAACTATATATATCAGCTGATATACAGAAAAGTTTCCATAGTTTTTAGACTTCCGGCCGCTTGTCTCTACACCATGAATAACTTCTTCAAAAGCTCTAAATTGGCTCACAAGTTCTTTAATGGCTTCAACCGAGTCCAACTCAAGAAAACTCAGAGTGTTCGCCACCTGTCCCAACTTACTGGAAATATTGAAACCGAATTACGTAAAATTTCAGAAAATTATGTTCCATTGACACCCATAAGTTTTTTGGAGAGAGCAGTAGATGTTTTTAGAGATAGAACTTCAGTTGTGTTTGGTTCTTCTGTGAAGTACACTTGGGAAAATACACATTCTAGGTGTCTAAAACTTGCTTCAGCTTTGGTTCAGTTAGGAATTTCTCGTGGAGATGTGGTAAAATATTATTTCCTGTCCTTTAACGTGAGAAATGTTTTTAATGCTTCAAATTCTTATATTATGCACAATTTTTGCAGGTAGCAACTCTGGCTCCCAACGTACCAGCGATGCAGGAATTGCATTTTGCAGTACTAATGGCTGGAGCAGTTATTTGTACATTAAATACACGCCTTGATTCAGCAATGATAGCTGACTTACTAAATCATTCAGAAGCCAAAATCATATTCGTTGATCAACATTTGGTCCAAATTTCTCAACAAGCAATCAGTCTTCTTTCAAAAGACAAAACAATTAAACCACCAATGCTTGTTCTTATTCCTGAATCCGAGAATCCCTCGCCTCCTATACCTGAGACATTGTCGTCTAATAACATTCATGAATACGAAAATCTTTTGGCAAGTGGGAGTAGCAATTTTACAATAAAATGGCCAAAAACTGAATTTGATCCAATCAGTATAAATTATACTTCCGGCACAACTTCAGGATCCAAGGGAGTTGTGTACAATCACAGAGGCGCGTATCTCAACACTATTGCTATGTTTCTAGTTTGTGGAATGGGTCCGATGCCTACATACCTTTGGACAGTTCCCATGTTTCACTGCAATGGATGGTGTTTGACTTGGGGAATGGCTGCAATTGGTGGCACAAATGTTTGCCTTAGGCATATCTCTGCTAAAAATATATTTGAAAGTATTTCTCTCTACAAAGTCACACATATGGGCGCAGTACCAACCGTGACAGGTGTAAAAGTACTCTATTGTTGACCATTTAATCTAAAAGTTTGATTAAAAGAGCGCATGCCGCTAATTATTTAATTATATTATGTCTGTCTCAGGAAGCCGCTTCCACATAAGGTGAAAATATTAACAGGTGGATCACCACCGCCTCCGCAGATCTTTTCCAAAATGGAGGAGCTCGGGTTCGGAGTAACTCATGCATATGGAATAACAGAAACTCATGGTGTAGCAACATCTTGCTTGTGGAAGCCTGAGTGGGATTCTTTGCCTCTTGAGAAACAACTCGCGCTTAAAGCAAGACAAGGGGTGCGACATCTTTGTATTGAAGATGTTGACGTTAGACACTGTGAGACAATGGAAAAAGTGCCACTTGATGGAAAGACTATTGGCGAAGTTATGTTAAGAGGAAACACCGTAATGAGTGAATATTTGAAAGATGTTAAAGCAACCGAAGAAGCTTTTAGAGGCGGATGGTTTCACAGTGGTGATCTTGCTGTAAAACATCAAGATGGTTACATAGAAATTAAGGACAGGTTAAAAGACAAAATAATTTCAGGAGGTGAAAACATAAGCTCGTTCGAGGTCGAAAGAGTTTTGTATTGACATCCAGCAGTAGTTGAAGCAGCAGTAGTAGCAAGACCAGATAATCACTGGGGACAAACACCTTGTGCTTTCGTTAAACTGAAGGAAGGATTCGATGAAATAATTACTTCGCAGGAAATAATCAAATTCTGTAGGAATCATTTGCCTCATTACATGGCGCCTGCGACAGTGATTTTTGAAAATTTACCAAAAACTTCAATTGGAAAGGTACAGAAATTCATCTTGAGGGAGAAAGCAAAAGCTTTGGGCAGTCTTCACTAAACCAAAACAAGAAAAGTCTTAAGTTATATTAATTGCTTCGAAGTAAATAGATGTTGTACTTTGAAATCCTACAACTGGTAGCACTTGCTGTTGCATCACATATTATGCTTCAAAAGCATTGAAAATTATTCACTTTGCGAGAAATATTGGTAACTCCTATCTACGGCATTTGTTTCGTTATTTCATTCGGTAAAAAAGTTTTTCTAATAATGTTTCCCCTTTTTTCTCTTTCTTGAATAATAACAATTTCCTTAGGTCATTATGGATGCATACGGTCAAATCCGGGTTTGCCTTTCGTATAATTAGTCGAGATTCGAACGTGATGGACCGTGGGTCATCATTGTAACGACGAGATAAGAAGTAAAGCCCGGTTATCGAGCTCAAGATACCGAGCTCGATTCGATATCGAGCTATGGCATGACGTAGTACTATCGAATTCAAGAGTCAAAGGCCGACTAATACCGAGCTCGAGTCAATATTGAGCTCGGGTCAATATCGAACTCAAGATCCAGAGATCGACCAATACCGAGACCGACCAAGGTCGAGCTAAGGGACAAAGAGCCGTTGTAGCCGCACCAGGAAGAGAATCTCGGCGGGAATTAAGAATCTCCACTATATATTTTTTATTATATCCAAAGCATGATTTTTTCACTATATATAGGGTGGGTATCATTTTTGTAAGGAGAGGCATTCGACATCCAGAGAAGAAAACATTGATACACTCACGTTCTAAAGATTATTACATTGATATACAGTTGAGATTATCCTTTTTTGAGCTTGGACATTGATTCATCTTGCTTGTTTATAAATTATTCTCTACTCAATTTGGTTTGTACTTCATTCTTTTATACAGTCAATATCTGATACATATTTCAACCTACTTTTCCGATTTGTACCAAGTTATATCACGTATCTTTAGAACTACGTATAAATTCAACTCTATCCATTTTTCGGGTAAACAGTTTGGCGCCCACCGTGGGGCTAAGAATAATAGTGGTTATTTGGTACGAATCTCTGTGAAATACTATTTTACACTTGCACTTGGAAGTGTCTTTGATTTCAGGCTGAAAATGACGAATTCTCAATTAATAGCCCTACTTATCGATAACGAAGTTGGCCTTCAAGATGAAAACAATAACTTAGTACCTAGGGGTGAAAGGCCACTTGTCGATCCCGTTGGTGTTATACCCTGTGCGTCCCAAGGTGACGTAATGAATATGAGACTTGTTAATCATTATTTAAATGATTTTAAAGTCATAATATGGCTATATATGATGGTTGGATAGAAAATATGAAGTTTGGGAAAATCGGATTAAAGTTGCGAAAAAAACTAACTAAGGATTTGCCTTGTAACAGAGCTTTTTGAGAAATAAATTTTGTATGCTATATGAGGTCTTTTAGGACATATTATATACCAAATTGAAGGACTTGGAATATAGTTTCTAATGCTCTTAACCGTTCATTCATACGACACCCGGATAAAAAGTTATAAGCATTGGAAGAAGGACAAATGCTAGGGTGCCAAGTAGCACCTTTTGACTTTTCAAACAAAATTGATATTTATATCCTTATCTCGTTTCTTTCTTCCATCTTCCAGAACACACAACCAAATAAGACCCCTAACTTTACTCATAATCTTTCTGCAAGATCTTTAAACAAGATTATCATCCCGGTCACGGAATCAAGAAACGATAACATTAAAACGATCCCCACTACGTAAGTTTCGCTATATCGCCTCTCTTTTTCTTTATAATTTGAGTTTTGGAAGGTACTTCATAGTTAAGAAAACGTGTACTTTATGTATTTTAAGTGTTTAAATATCAAGGAAGGTTGATAAATTTATTTTCTAATAGTTAGAACTTACGGGACGGTGATCGGAAGCCGTGAGTTCGAGTTATTCAATTGTAGCGGACTGTTTTGTGGATTGTTTTGTGTTGCTATTGGGATGCGTGTTTTACTACTATTTTGTGGAGTTTTGGAGGAGTAAGGTTATGGATAAACACCACATAAATGCAAGGAGGTGGGTTGGTCGTTCATCATAACATTTTCGGGTCGTTTGACACTACTACGGTGGTCGTTTTATGTATGAAGAGATTGGGGTGTGTTGGGTTATTTTATAGTATTTTGTGGTGTATATAAGGTTGGAAAATAATGTATACATGTTGATATTGTTGTGTTTGGTGTTATCTTGAATTTGAAGGAAGTAAGGATTATATGGGAGATGCTGCCTATTTTAATACAAAATAAGTTTGTCGCTCGCTGTGCGATAGTTCTACCTTTCGTAACTTAATGATAGTATTATTATTGTTATTGTAGATTAAGGTACGAAGAGGCGAGTTCAACTTGGTGATTGGAAATATTGTGATAAGGTATGTTAAGGCTATCCATTTTTTTCTTTTTGGCATGATCCATATGATGCAAAAAATGAGCAAGTACGCAACTTTCACAAATAATTCTATTCCTAGAAGTACTAGGGTTGCCTATATTCTTGATTCTCCATATGTCCTACTATCATATCGTCTGTTCATGGGTCTTATGATATTCCGAGAGATCTTATAGATTTACTTCCTTATGCATTGTATTTATTTATACATGTATATTGACCCATGACCAGATGGCGTTATATACACGTATATTATATGTATATGGGATATGGAAAAGGTTATGGCGTTATATACGCACCACCACCTGATCAGTCGGTATACGTTGATAATTTCGCTCACAGTGGCTGAGATGATATGATGGGATGCCCTCAGAGGCTTGATGTTGTTATGTACGCATATACTTATGCATGGTATGGCATTTATACGCACATGCATGATATTATAAATATTTTCATGATTCACAGAGCTATTCAGACTTACAGGTTGAGTTCCTTACTCCATGTTTCTTTCATGCCTTACATACTCGGTATTTTATTTGTACTGACATTCCTTTTGACTGGGGACGCTACGTTTCATGCCCGCAGGTCCCGATAGACAAGTTGAGAGTTCTCCTAGTAGGCTATTAGCTTAGAAGAAGGTGTTTGTGCACTCCACTTGCTCCGGAGTTGCCTATTTGGTCACTATGATTTGAATATGTATTGATTGGTATAGCGGGCCCTTTCCCGACCCTTAAGACATTTATGTACTCTTAGAGGTTTGTAGATAGATGACATGTATATGGATACTTGTATGGCCTTATCGGCCCATGTCTTGAGTATACAAATGATCATGTTTGCGTTATAGGCCCGTATGTCACATGTATAAGTTTCTATATCATGTTGGGTCGTCGTATGTCTAGTATTCCCTTATGTTTTATTCTCGTTATCTCATGACGGCCCTTCTGGTCCACTTACCCATGACAGTATGATAAGAAAGATATGTTACGTTGGTACTCGGTTGTGTAAGGCACCGGGTGCCCGTCGCGGCCCTGCGGTTTGGGTCGTGACAGTTGAAGCTCGGGTCGAAGAACCAATAGACGTTAACTCACATGTGTCCATCAAGGCAAACCAACGTTCCGACCCTGAAAATAGCATTCATGGTGGAACTCAATCTGCAGGTCGAAATACTCAAAATGCTGAGGAAAACGGAATCAGCTTGCGTATGATTTTCGAAATGTTGCAAGCTCAATAAGTAGCAATAGCCCAGTTGCAGAGCCAAACCCAGGCATCGACCAGGCTCGAGCACAGTCCACCCCAAGAAGTCACCTACAAAACGGGGCCAGCTGTAGTGAGGTCAATCGAGCAAGAATCGGGGACTAATCCCAAAATTGTTAAGATGCTCAAGGAACTAACAAAACGAATAGAGTTAGGGGAAAAGGAGGATTGAAGTAAATGACAAAAAGGTGGAAACGTATAACTCTAGGGTTGATCAGATCCTGGGGGAACCACCGATATTGAAAGGTTTGGATTCCAAAAAATTCGTACAAAAACCTTTCCCCCCGAGCGCAGCTCCGAAATCGATCCCTAAGAAGTTCTACATGCTCGAAATTCCTAAGTATAATGGAACGACCCACCCCTAACGAACACGTCACCTCTTACACATGTGCCATTAAAGGGAACGATCTAGAGGACGACGAGATCGAATCTGTATTATTGAAAATATTCGGTGAAACCATGTCAAAGGGAGCAATGATATGGTATCATAATTTACCGTCTAACTCTATCGATTCTTTTGCTATGCTTGCAGATTCTTTCATAAAAGCGCACATTGGAGCCATAAAGGTCGAAACCAGGAAGTTGGACCTATTCAAGGTAAGACAAAACGATAACAAGATGCTAAGAGAATTCGTATCTCGTTTCCAAATGGAACGAATGGACCTACCACCAGTCACAGACGATAGGGTTGTTCAAGCTTTCACTCAAGGTCTGAACGAACGAAGCTCGATAGTTTCACGACGGTTGAAGCAGAACCTGATCGAGTACCCAGTTGTTACCTGGGCCGATGTTCATAATCGGTACCAATCGAAGATTAGAGTCGAAAACGACCAGTTGGGTTCTATATCTATTATTAAAAGGGACATCAACAGAGAACAAAGGCTGATCAAGGACCGATACCAGTCGCATAGTGGAGATTATAGGGGTAACGAACCAAAACATAACCTCGTACAAAACTATAAAAGAAGTGATTGAGGTCAAGGGTCTTGGGGACTGATGAACAAGAATGGGTTTGACAGGCATACTGGACCTAAAGAAGCACTGCGGTTATCCGAATATAACTTCAACATCGATGCATCTGCCATCGTGTCGGCTATCGGACGCATCAAAGATACTAAATGGCCTCGACCTCTGTAGACCGATCCAACCCAGAGGAATACCAATCAAATGTGTGAATATCATGGCACCCATGGACACAGAACGGAAGATTGCAGGCAATTGAGAGAGGAGGTAGCCCGGTTATTCAATAAAGGACACCTTCGAGAATTTTTAAGTGACTGGGCCAAAAACCATTTCAAAAATAGGGATTTTAGAAAACAAAACAAACAAGAAGAGCCACAACACATCATCCACATGATCACCGGTGGGATCGATATTCCCCAGGAGACGGTGCTTAAACATACTAAGATATCGATTGAAAGAGAGAAGCGATCTCGGTCTCAGGATTACACACCTAAAGGAACCTTTTCCTTTAGTGATGAAGACGCAGAAGGAATCATGCAACCCCATAACGATGCACTGGTAATATATGTACTTATGAATAAAACTCAAGTTAAGCATGTGTTAATTGATCCAGGTAGTTCGGCCAACATTATTAGATCGAAGGTCGTAGAGCAGCTCGGTCTACAGGACCAGGTCGTGCCCGCAACTCTGGTTCTAAACAGATTCAATATGGCACGTGAAACTACTAAGGGCGAGATAATCCTGCCAATAAACGTGGACGGGACTGTCCTAGAAATGAAGTTTCACGTAATCGAAGGCGACATGAGGTATAACGCTCTTTTTGGAAAGCCGTGGATCCACAATATGAGAGTTGTACCCTCGACCCTCCACAAGATTCTGAAATTCCCAACATCGGAGGGAGTAAAAACAGTCTACGGAGAGCAACCGGCCGCAAAAGAAATGTTTGTCATCGATGAGATAATTTCGATATCTACACTATCATCGACAAAGAGATCAGATTTGAAAGGTGAACAGGATACCAAATAGCAATCACAAACGTCAGCCTCGACCCAACTAGAGAATCAGAAGACTAACGAAGACGATGACTATGGTATCCCTCGATCCTTTGTGTCCC